CATCCATCCATCCATCCATCCATCCATCCATCCATCCATCCATCCATCTCCAGCAGTCTTTGTGCAAATGACAGGGTACAACCTGTACAGGTTACCAGTCTGTCCAGATGTCAAAAGTCCATGCCTCTTTATTTTAATTAGAAGGTGGTGTCTAACTGCAGAAGATAACTTGACAAAGTGAGGAATTAACTGTTTAGAGGTAGGGAGCTTTTTTATAAGCATGCAGAAGCTGTACTAATAAGACAGGGCTTCAAAGTGGGAGAAGTGTTTTCTAACAAAATTATGAGCTTGCCAGTATGTTGAAAATAGGTGGCTAGTGGGGAGTCCAACATTTGATTGGAGCTGCATAAAGGAGTAATCAACCTTGCCAATATAAAGGTCCTTCATAAAAGCCATGCCCTTAATTAACCAGTGCTTAAAGACTATATCCATTGTGCCTGCTTTGAAAGCTGAGTTCAGAAAAATGGGAGCATAGATGGAAAAAAGAATTATTATCTGCTTGAGAATCCTGAATTAATTTTTATGCATAGAATTATCCTCAAGTTGTTGGAAAGATAAAGAGAGAATGGAAAACAGGGCAGCAGGAACATCTTCATTTAGCAGCCAATTAGACAATGAGACCACCTCTTTCAAACCTTGGAAGATGCGATCTAAAAAGCCAAGGTTTTAATATTGTACGCCCAGTAGTAATGGCAAAAAGCAGAAAGGCCAAGGCCACCCTCAGCAGCATGTTTATGTAGGTGTGACTTTAGAATTTGCATTTGGTTACCACCCCAGAAAGAATGAATGATCACAGAATCTGTACTCGTAATTTTCTGATTATGTGGGATGCGGCCGTGGGGGGCGACAGTCTCAGCAGAGACTCCAAGATTTCCCTTTCCCTAACTAGTTTAATATAGTCTATTAACTTTAAAATTGAAGGAGTAAGATTAATGGGTATATCTTGAAATAGATATACGTAATTTATTTCATTTACTTTTGGGAGGAACAACAGGAACAACAGTTTTGCTATTTCCTTGAGACCAAACAAAGAATCAAGGAAAGAGTTTACTCTGGTCCACCATTGTCCAGTAACATGAAGACTTTTGAAGGCAAACTTGATAAAATACATTGAGGTGATGTGGCGTGAGTCCATTTGTTTTTGCAAACCCATTACTCTATTTGCATAGGAGTTATCTGCGGCTTTGTTTCAATGTTTTTTTTTTGCATTAAATCTATTTCATTTGTATTTTTTTTTACCTCTCAGTATTTTGAACAGTTCTTTAGTTAGTATTTTTTTGTGGATTATTCTTAAATCTGACATAAATTTAGGTTAGGATAGAATTCTTGAAAACATTCATCCATCCATCGATTTTCTGGCACGCTTAATCCCAAGCGGGGTCACGAGGGATGCTGGTGCCTATCTCCAGCTGTCTAAGGGGAGGGGCAGGGTACACCCTGTACAGGTCGCCAGTCCATCGCAGTCTTGAAAACATCAATACATTTTTTTTATTTATCTTCGACCAAATTGCTTAATGGTTAGAACAGAAATAGTTAAGAAGGTAGACTTACAGTGGGTACAGAAAGTATTCAGACCCCTTAAAATGTTTAACTTTCTTTTTCTTTGCAACCATTTGCTAAAATCAATAAAGTTAATTTTATTTCTCATTAATGTAAACTTAGCAACACAGCTTGACAGAAAAAACACAAAAAAAATGTAAACATTTTTGCAAATTTATTAAAAAAGAAAAACTGAAAATTCAAATCTTCAGTATTACACACAGTATTTGCATACTGTATATTACATATTAGCTTTTTATTTAAAATCATAACGATAATTCGTTGTAAAATGTCATATATGTAACATACTACTTAAACCAACCTTGCTATCCCTCAATCATTGTGCCAAACAAACTTCACTTTGCAGTTTTGCTAAACATCCATATAGATTATTTTCTGATAACAAAAAATAAACACCCAAGCTGAGTGACGATGAGTTTAGGAGTTTCTTCTCTGACTGCGTAACAAAAAAGTGCCGTATTAATAATTCATAAAAAGCTGGGGGTGATTCATGATGAAAGAAGACAAGCCTTGTGAAGGCGAGAGGCAGAAGAGTTGATCCTGGCTCACAGAGAACAGACGCAGAGAGGGAACACGATCCTGCAGAGAGAGGAAAAGATTAATACAGAGCAAGTAAATATATGACGGAGGGGAAGGAGAATAGTAATATGTATTCCCATATTTTTATTTATTTTCTTTGATTTGTTATGTGATGAAATACACAATCATCTCACTAAGCTCAAAAAACAACTGTCTATTTTTTATTTTGTCTAATTTATGGCATTTTGTATAGCCCATTTCAAAAGTTCCTCTTAATGATGCTTGTTTAGTCAGTAAAAGTAAATCTGTAGCAGAAGCTCAGTTCTTACACTCTTTATTAGATTATGAAGCGTTGGTCAACTTATAAACAATGGATCTGCAAATGTTTATTCTTTGTTTTTTTTATTTTTTTGCAATATAATTTTAGTTATAATAGTATATAATAGTGCACTAAAAATGCACTGATCAAGGTTTTACTTATCTAATCCAATACCTGAGATACATGATCCATGAACCATACAGTATATCTTTCCATGAGAATGAAGGCTTTAGCCTTGACATAAACATTGTTAAAAAAGGTAACAAATGAACACAGATATAAATATACTTTATATTATTAACAAATTGGCAGCAAGGAGAAAGAAACAACAGTTCACTGTAAAGTAAAGTGGATTGGATCTTCAATATCTGATATCAAATCACTGATATCCGATCCAGCTAATAAGTCAATATTGAAGCTGATGTAATTCAGGTATTGGATCGGTGCAGCTCTATCAGCACTGAAGGGAAATTTGATTTAGTCGCCTACTTAATTATCCATTACCTGCAAAATCCTCCTGCAATAGTAAGGGTGGGGGGAAGTTGTTTAATGATTTATTCTTAACTTGCCAGTTTTATACAATGTTAGAGTGGTCTGAAACAGTATCAGTGGGAAGGTAAATAAGCTGTGTTTAAGTTGTTAGACCTTCCCTCCACCATAACTTTTCTACTCAGCCCTCTTTTTCCCTTCCACTACATTTCTCCGCTCCTCCTTCTTTTCCTATTCTCTGTGTTCTCCTGTGTTTCTCCCTTCCTCGGCTAATAAATTATGTATGCCATCTCCAACTCACAGAGTGCTGCACTGCTGCACTATCTGCTCTAAATTGCTGCTCTCTCTCTTCCCCATTTCACTCTTTGCCTCTCAATCTCTCCCCTTCACGCCTCCTCTCTTTCTCACTCTTAATCTTTCACTTTCTCTTTCTCGCACACAAACTCAACTCCAAACCCCTCTCCGCCTACCCAACCATGCACCACTCCTGTCTCAATTGGTAGGACCGGCTCTCCTTTCCCAGAGTTCCTTGCAGCTCAACTCCACCCCGGAGGCTTCGCTCCAGTACTCTGCCAGCTACCATAGCAACCAGACCCTCGCCCTTAGCGACAGCATTTCTGCAGCAACTCCTCAGCGTGGCGTGCAGGTTGGAGGAGCCGTGCACAGCTACAACCAGGTAGGTGATACGGCTATGGGAAAAATTTGGGATCAGGATGCAAATGGTGAGATTGATGAGATCCTCAGAGTAGGTTTTGTTTTAACTTGGAAGTTTTTTTTTTAAACTTTTTAGCTTGAACCTGCTGCTGCAACATTTACTCATCTAAACTTTTTAGAGTTTATATAGTATAGTTGAGAAATAAGCTGTTTTTCACTTCCTTGTTAATATTTCTATTTTTCATACTGAGCTAACACTGAGACTCCCTGCTCTTACAGCATGTTGATTTGTTTGACATCATAGATATTAAGTCTTTTTTAGGAGGATTTAATTATATCTTTATGCAGGATCTAATTTCATTAAGTTTGCTGAAGTCCACTCACACCAATTGTTCATTCTAAGAGATGCTCTGAATTTTGACACAGTTTTCATGACAGACAAATTCATTAAAGCGGTTCAATGGAAGACCGGTAATTAGAAAGAAATGAGCAAAAATAAATAAATGCACGCTGAGAAATCTCAGCACGTGTCTTGTTTAGAAGAACTTGAGAGCTAAAGCGATACACAAAGTCACATATGAATCACAGCAGTGTGCTGCTAAAGAGAATCCCACCAAATTACTTTCGAGCCTACAGCAGCCAATTATTTCTTATTTTCAAGTCCCTAACATATCAATGGTAAGACCGCTGCTGGAAACACACATACGCACGCACATAAACTTGCACACACCCACGCATCTGCTTAATCAGAGAGCAGCTGCACTGCTTCGTTAAGAAATATTTCCACTGTTGGGAACAAATGTTCCATTTGCCATAGATGATTAGGAAATAAAAGTAATCAAAATATTTCAGATTTGCAATTTTAAAGCGAAGTTCAAGCCTGGTGAGAAACTAAGGTGCATCTGTTTTGTTAATAGGTTTTACTCATTTACTGATTTTTTTAACAAGACAAATAAGGGGATGCGCTTTGCAGAGGTGGCTTCAGATTAAGCTTACAGTTGCATGTTTTAATAAGAAATGCAAGAGCAAAAGAGAGAAAGTAAATTATTGGGGGCTAGATGAGGGTAAAAGTTTTTTTTTTTTCTTCCTGGAGTGTTCCTGTCCTCCTTTTCCACCTCTCATCTTTCTCCCCCTGTCCTTTCTCCTCACCATCTCTGTCCATGGGAGTGTGTGTGTTTGTGTGCTCTTTTCCTCTGATGTTTGGGCTTGTCAGTGTAATGGGGATACTGCTGTCAGCAGAGTTTTGTTGCTCATGAATAGCTTTATGCATGCCAAAACTAGGAGATGGGAAGCTTTGGCTTGCATGCATGTACTGTACAAGAATCTTGGATGTTTTTGCAGCTTGGTATGAACAAAAAAATGGGGGAGGGGGATGTTTGTTTAAAGTTTGTAAGAGTGGTTATTTTAGGGAGAGAGAAAGAGTTAAAGGAAGGTCTGTTATGTTGCTTCACTTCTGCAGGATATTTTTAACCCTAAGTAGTCGTGCTTTAATAATACATGATTACATGACACCTCACACATCCCAGTCTTTTGCTGGAAGTTAAAATACAGGATAAGATACTGTGAAAACCCAGTGAGCTAGACCCTCTATCTGTTAGTTACCTTAGCCAACAATTTATTTCTTACTCATTATTTATTTACAGTTCCGTTTATCTATTGATCTATTTATCCATTACTCTAAACTATGCCTTACTTCTTTTTTTTTTTTTTTCGTACCACAGCTATAGTCTGAAAGATTTAAGTACAGCTTTTCTAGGCAAGTAAACTAATCAATCATTGATAGAAACTGAACTGTTTTGCTGGTATAATGTCACCAGCTTCAGCTCTTCACCTTGTCTTTATGACCTATTAGACAATTCTGTAGACTTGAAAAACCTGACTTAAGAGTGCATCTATAGAAAGTGCGCTTTTGCATCTATAAGCGTGCATCATACATCATACTTACCTCTGCTGTAACTTCTTGCTACATTCAATGAATATGAATATGTTCTCTGGGTTAATAAAACAGGTTTAAAAGATTATGATTATGATAAGATTGTTGCTGCTGTATTAAAAATAACGCACCCATTCTGTTACTTAAAAGCTATTAGCTCTATAAAAACATACTGGCTTAGACTCATTGGGAAAATTACCATCTCAGTTTCAAGGTTTTATACATAATCAAGTAAAAACTGATTCCTATAGATTCATTAAATCAAAGTAACAAAAAAAACCTGTTAGCTTTACAAACTATTCAGGTTTGTTATTAAGTTGTCTTTACAGACTTATAATCAGAAAAGGCTCACTTTAGACTGCTGACCATACTATTATCCAAGAAAAAAGCCATCCCATTGATGTTCTATACATGCAGAAGCCTTCAGAGCAAAACACAGTAGGAAAGTTTCCAGACTGTTTTGATCATACACATCACTTCATGATGATTTATAATAATGGTGTCTGTGTAACCCAAACCCTGTTGCCACATGGCATGTAGCAGAGCTTGCAGCATATTCATGGCATGTGGCCGAGTAGAAAAAAAATCTGTATATTGGTCATCAGCACCAGTCATGCTGCTCTCATGCCAATATAACTAATGTGTTCCAAGGAAGAGTTATTATACTGCTTTTGCTACTGAAGCTAATGCATGCATCACATTTTATAACTACTCTGGCTGCAGTCATAAGATTGTCACCAGACAGATGCAATGAACAGTTCACACTCTTCACACCAATAAATAACAGACCATACCTGGTCTCCTGAAAGCAAAGATACTTAGAATGTCACAATAAGAACAGAAGGACTCATTTTTCAAAGTAGACAGATTTCTCAAAAACGTTTATTTACAAATGGATCTGCAGTGAACAGCAAGGGTGTCTTAGTCAGGAACCTCTTCAGAAAGAGAACAAATGTGACCACTTCTATCTGGTGGAGCATGATTTTTCAATGTGTGAGTGACTAACTTGGCCTTAAAGTTCAGTTGGAGCCCAGAGGATGAGGTTGGTTCCAGCCAGTCGCCTGCCGACAAGATGCGACAAACGCTTCCCAGAGATTTCACAGACACCGAAGTCCCTTTGGCTGGAGGACAGGCAGGAGATCAGAGCCGAGCAGACAAAGGAAGGCAGGATAAGCCAGATGCCTAAGCCAAAGCCTGTGTTGAGGACGTGCTCAGGGTTCAGAGCCAGAAGATAAGAGGTGCGAAGAGGTACCGACGGGAAATCCAGACCACAGTCAGGAATTGGTTCCAGGTTTGGTAAACAGGCAGAAATCCAACAGGAGTCCAAGGACAGATCAGGCGAACAAATCAGAATGGGAACAGTCAGGCTCAGAAGTCCAGAGGCAGAATGGGTCAGGACCAGGCAATCAGAAAACACATAGGTACACTAGAAAACTTTCACCACAGACTCGAATAATCTGCCCCTGATGACTAGTTAAGGGCTGGTTAAATATAGGCTGCAGCAGGTGGATCAGGTGAAGAGTACTGAGAAACTGGACGGCTCTAGGCAGGTGAATGATAGAATAATCAGGCCAGACATGAGCTCTGAGATCATGACAGACTGCTTCCCAGCTGCATCGGATCAGGATCTGGTGTTGTGGCCGGACCAGGAACTGACATAGGTGCAAAGGGAGTGGAATGAGGAGCTGGTCGAGGACTAGTTGATGTCAGAGCCCTGCATAGATTTTTTAAAGTCAAAACGCCACTTTCTGTCTGCCAATGTGTTCATGTATGGCCAGATTATTCTATCACAATCAGAACAGTAAGACCAAGTTTTTGAGGTAGACAGGCAGTTAGATTCTCAAAAACATGTATTAAGAAATTGATCTGCTGTGAACAGTGTGGGCCTCTAAGGCAGGAACCTCTGCAGGAAGAGAACACAGGTGACCACGTCTATCTGGCGGAGGATGATTATGAATGTGTGAGTCACTAACCTGGTCTTAAAGTTCTGTCTGAGGTTGGTTTCAGCCAGCCGGCTGCCAGCAAGATGCAGCTTGCACTGCCCAGAGAGTCCCGGATGCTGAAGTCCTGGAGGTTGGAGGGCAGTCAGGAGATCAGATCAAAGGTGACGAAGGAAGGAAGGAAGGATAATTCAGAGGACAAAGCCAAAGCTGGTGTCGAGGACGTGCTTCAGTCAGCAAAAAATACACATGGCATATTAAACTGTTAAATTATAATGATATGCTTCTATTTAAATTCAGCTTATTGTTAAAAAAAACAAACAAAAAAAAAAGACGAAAGGCAAAACTTTAAAAATTTGGTGTCCACTAATCAATTAGAATTGATCAGCATTAGATTAACCCATAAGCTCTAAATTGCATCCCTACTAATCTTTTTGTTTTAGATTTCAAGTAAATGCATTATTATACAGTATACTGTATCATCTGTGAACCGATTTAAGTGATGGAGTTTTGATGAATGTAGACATAGCAACCTCTGTGTTTTAATTTCCCTTTATTGGTTTCACCATACTTCTTCTCTTTACCCCACTGTCTGTTAGCTTTTATAAGTTGGATGTCAGATTTTCCACATTAGGATAGTTGTACGACTCAGTTTGAGATTAATCGGTTGTTAATATTCCGTTTCAAAATGAGAAAAACAAGGCTGGCATCCCCTGTTTTCTTTTTACAAGAGATACTTTAGAGCTTATTGTAAAGCAAAGAGTAAAACCAGCCGCTGGAGATGTAATGGAGACTCATCGTGCCACTTTATGCTGCTATATTTACCTCTGAAAGATTTGCTGAGTAGGCAAGTTTTCTCTTTCTCTTTTTTGTTTTGTCCTCCAAGGTATGGCTACACAGTCAGGCAGCTGCAAAAATGTTTACAAACATAAACCCTTAAACAAAACCCCTGCATGTGTGTGTGTGTGTATGTGTGTGTGTGTGTGTTATGGCACAGCCAGCAGATTAGGAGACCTAATTAAATATTATGAATGAGTTTTCCATTTATTAGTTTTTTTTTTCCTTGGTCACTCTCCCAAGCATACTGTGAGCTGGTAGACAACATTATATGTGATCTGATCGTTTGCAGTGTTCAGTGGTGATCATGTGCAGAGTTTGTTTTCACCTGATTGCTGTGAAGCCTTATATAAGTGTGCAACTTTCTTGTTCTTGTTATGCGGGTTTGTCCACCATCCACCAATGTCAGAGTATAAATATTATATTGTCCACCTTAAGCCATCAGTGTTGTAAAAAGAGGGGGAAATGATTTTTTTTGTTGTTTAATAAAGAACATATTTTTTTTTTTACGACCAAGTTTGTTTCATCTTTAGATGGATGGATGGATGGATGGATGGATGGATGGATGGATGGATGGATGGATGGATGGATAGATAGATAGATAGATAGATAGATAGATAGATAGATA